GTTGTGTTGAGAAAGTCCTGTGTTCGGCGCCTGTATCGTTGTAATATGCTATTGGGCATTGGTAGGTCCCACTAGAGGTGATCCAATACGATTCTTGTGTTTGTCAAAAGTTCCATGAATAATTCGCTGATTCAGGTGGAAGATGTGCCAATCGATGTTGACACGGACGATTACAAAGTGGACGCAGATCAAGTTATTTGTTTTAGTGGGCGCCAACACTTCCTGTCAAATCTTTACCCCGTAAGTACTCTCTTCCCATTCATCGGCTGACCTACAGTGCCAAACAAACTTTCATAGTTTACATTTTTTCAAAAAATTTCCAAAACACTTAGTTCCTCACATGGTCTTTGACTGCAGCAGCGGAAGACAGCGAAGAGTGCCAGCACTTTATTCTCAACAAAACGACGAACTTCAATAAAACGACTACCAGGGCGCCGCACAAACTATTCAGCAGAAGGGGTTGTTAGTCATTGTGGCAGGACATAGGGCCCAGTTAGTAAAGTTAGTTGTGGCAGGACATGGGAGACCAGTGACGCCCATTGATTCCAGAACTAAGGACCAGGGTTTTCAGAAGGGGCTTATATAGGGGAAATTAATGGAGAGAAAAGGAGGGCGAGGTAATCAGTAAGTGAAAAGGTAGGTAATATGGAATTATTTAGAATTTGGTGGAACTGTTAGAAATTAGTGAGTGGAGCGAAATAGGTCGAAGTGTTAAGGATTAGTGAGAGGAGGAGAATAGGTCGAATTATAGGGTTACACCCACTCAGTCTCATACTTCATGGGATTTTATGGATTTTTAAAATTTCTAGGCTTCTGTTATTCCTAGAATTTTCTCTTTATTATTTGCATGAATTATCAGCACTCTGGAACAGCGGATTTTTTTTTTCTTTTTTTTTGACAGAAAGTGGAATTATTTAGAATTTGGTGGAACTGTTAGAAATCAGTGAGCGGAGCGAAATAGGTCGAAGTGTTAAGGATTAGTGAGAGAAGGGGAATAAGTCGAATTATAGGGTTACGCTCATACTTCATGGGATTTTATGGATTTTTAAAATTTCTAGGCTTCTGCTATTTCTAGATTTTTCTCTTAATTTGCTTGCATGAATTATCAGCGCTCTGGAACGGCGGATTTTTTTTTGTGTGACAGAACGTTGTCATGTTGTGTGAATTGCAGGTCACGTTGACCGTGGACGGGCATGAATACCCAAGTGTGGAGCATTACTATCAGGCATGCAAGTTGTATACGTTGGGTGGTGCACGACTTGCCGCACAACTCCGCATTATTACCGATGCTGGTCAGGTCAAAGTGTACACCAAGAAGCTGCTGCGCTCAGCCAATGTCCCACTGGAACAGGTACTGCTGTTGTTTTGCATAAGTTTTTTTTTTGGTTCTTTTGATTTCAGCGATACACATCTCCCAAAGTTATACTTTCCTGGTGCGCAGTGTGGGATATTTACTAATTACTGTGTTCTTAATATTATTATGCGTTTTGTGCTGTGTAACAGCGTTACAAAACGCATATTGTCACGGGATTGTCTGTGTGTGTCCCACATTTTGTCCTGCACTTTCAACTCGGGAACCACAAAAGCTAGGCGGCTGAAATCTTGGTATAGTGTTCCCCGCCAATAGGTGACGCGGCAAATTTAAATTCAGCCTTCCCGTACCCGCGAGTAACACGTATGGCCCCGCGAAAGCTTTTTACGGGTAAATTAATATCTCAGGAACCACGGAGTCTAGGAGGCTGAAATTTAGAGTAATGACCCCCTGCCCACGCTCAACCTTG